CGTTTACGTACACCGCTACCACCCTCCACTCTTCCTCTCCCGCTCTGACTTCTCTCGCCATCAGCTCCTCTATTTCCTTTTCCTCTTCCTTTTCCACCCTCGTCATTTCCTCTCTCACTCCCATTATCATCGCGCCTATTGCCCTTCCTTTCTTGCTCTTTCTCTTCGCCCACTGCTTTCTCCAACTCTATCTTTCCAACTTTTCTCCCCGTCCCCCCCCTCCTCCGGCCATTCTCTCCCCCATCTGTCTCTCACCGTCTCCCGCTGCCCGTCCCATACCCACACGGGGAGAAAGGAGAAAATAGAAGAGGACTTAACGTGGGAGGAGAAAAGGATACAGTGGAAGATGAGAAGGATAGGAGACGAAGAGAGGAGGAAAAGGAGACAGGTGAGGGTGGGGCTAAGGAGGATCACGGTGGAGGGAAAAGTGTTCCACTTCTTCCTCATCACTTCGTATGGAGCATGTAATACATTTTGAGTTCAAATGGGCCGGACACCAAAACATCCTTCTTTTGTTCGAATTTTCACGTGCATGTCTCGTTAATCTATTTTTGTAACTTATTACCGGATTATTAGGGATTCTAGATTTCATGAACTGGAGCTGAAGTGTAATTAGGAATATAAGTGTTTTAAGTCTGAGGAGAGAGTTCCAATTGTTAGTAAAACTTAATAACAACGAATTGTTTGATTACGTTATTGCTAGACATTTTTAAGCGTTATTATATCTTTATTAAATTTTTCAAGCGTTTGCAAACTGTCCTGAAGGGAATTATTCGGCTCTCTGCAAAACTCGTCGAAGTACGCATTTTCTTTTAAAATTCCTCCAAGAAACAATGAAATTTCCTACGATACACAAAAAATTTCTTCTTCCCGCTGAAATTTCGTACAAATAGAATACCATAAATGTTTCTCCAAGCGTTTTCAAGTTATTCTGACCGTAATTATATTCGATTTTCTACAAAATGTGTATGCATATGCATTTTTCTCCATACTTCGCGTTAAAAATACAATTAAAATGTTAAACACTATTAATGTAATGTAGGGTTCACTTTATGAACCGATCTCTGGGTATTTATAGAAAATCTGTTAGTATTTAATGAAACATGTTAATCGAGCACTGAAGAAATGATCTTACTACTATTTTTTGGTCATGCCTCCCTAAGGGATACTAACACAACAAAAAACAGATCCAGAATCATTGTCTCAAGCTGTACAATACTTACATGCCGATATGCAATTGGTCACAACGAAAATTTCTATGAATCGTCGAATGGAAGGGGAAAGTAATTACTCAACGCGAATGAACTGGCATTTCTTAGATTCCTGTGCACTATGCATCTGAAACTTCGAACTGCTAAGCTCTTATCTTCTTCGGATCATCTAACAATTATGAATATTCCGCTTTCTAAAGCAGCGGAACAATTGATTGAATAATGTACGCGATTAAGCTGCTCCCTCGTTGTTGGATAACATGTTAAAAATGCATCGGCTTTCAACCGATTAAGAAAAACGTTTTGGGTACTGATGTCTTTTTTTTATAGCAGAAGACATGAAAGATGCATCACCACTCAAAATGCTCATCTGGACATTTCAGTCTTGTACCAAACGAACTGTACTTTATAGTAAAAAATGTGCAGTTCAAAGTTAATTGGGAAGAATGTTAAACTTGCGAAGGATTGTTTGCCAGCTTTGAACATAAAGAATTTTCTGAAGTGTTTAACCGGTAGGAATTATTTAAACGCACTTGACGCTGTTACAGTTTCTTTTATTATTTTTTTGGTATACATAGTTTCATCGACAGGGTATAAAGATATTTATTTACAATCTGTGCGCATTGAAATAATCACATCGAATAAAGAATAGTAAACTCTACTAGTGTGCTCTGGGCACTATGTGTATATTTCTATCACGTTTGAAGGCACTTATCGTACGTTAATTCTAAAAAATTTCTGTCAGTTGCATCCTCACGCTATGTCCGTTCGTGCGACATCAAACGAACTATATTTTATGCTAAAATATCTGCAGTTTTAATTGAATTGAGATGAACATTAAAATGAATGGCTAAGAGGCTAGGGTAGTCACATGTCTTTCCTAACATTTTTACGTAAAATTTTGACGGTTTTTTCTTCTATTTTAGTGACAACCAGGCAAAAATAGTGCAAAGTATGGGTTTACGGGTCACACTTTTCGTCCTTATAAGAGAATATTTTTTGATCGTCAGGTGCCTCTTCAGAAAGAGGAAAGTCAAACCTGGCACGGTCTGTTCATCATTTCAACTACAACAATCTGTTTTGAATAAAAAATCGCTTATAAACACAAGCCGTATAACTACGATTTTTTGTTCATATTATAACGCTCATATTACTAAATATCAGCATATTCTGATTAAATAATGACCAGAGCGCGCCACATTTGACTTTCCTTTGTCTGAAGAGGTACCTGACGACGAAGAAATATTCTCACATAACACGTAAACCCATATTTTTGGCTAATTTTGTGGGTAACATTGACAGTCTGCCTTATCGTGCTGCCATTGGAGTTTATCCCCTTAAGTGGATGACTCAAAAAGCTATATCCTCGATCTACTTTATAGACGACAAAAAATGGCCTTCTTTATGCATTTTTTATGAAAAACACTGGGCACATGGGCTTTTTCAGACTCGGATTGTGATTTAAACAGCTCAAGTTCGTCTTGGGCGCTTACGGCACCCTCGACTGCCACTCGTTTTCAAACGCCAACCTCGCTTGGAAAAGCCCATTTTCAGCTCTTGGTGTACATTGTACTACATTTACATTGTCTGGACGTATTTTATAGAACCTATTAGCGCAATTAGAGCCCTACATATTTCTGTCGCGTTTTAGCAATTCATTTAAGTACACTCTTAGTATATTCATTCTAAAACACTTAATGCTTCATTGCTCAGTTCCTGTTTCATTGAAACTACGCTCTAATGCGGCGATTTGATTAAAACTATGCTCTAATATTTTTGTTTTATTAAAACTATGCGTTATTAAAATCGGGTAATAAACAATGAGAATATAACGAAGAACGACGCGATTATCATCGAGTTAACACTATTACCTCCGTTATCGGGGCCCTCGAATAAATGGTTGTTAGCGCCTAACCACTTATCTACAGTTGACTTGTGCTTCTTAATCCATTCCAAGTTCTTTGTCGCCTTTGCTATGGCATTTAGCTCCGGTAGCACCAGATCTCTATTCAACAAAAATTTGCTCAGCTGAAATCAAACAAACAATTCTCTACATGGCAATTTCAATTTCAAAATTCTTTATTAACCACAAATTGACGGGTGTTTAGGACTTGCTTGTATAATCACAGGATCGCTTATATAATATAATCGGAGGATGTAGCGAGGTTGTAAAATTTGTTAAGTGGCTGAAACCGGTATCCACTTAAAGGGGTAGTACAAAGCAAAATGTCAATGTTAACCACAAAATTGACCAAAATAATAGAACTATGTATTATTTATTTCATTAATCAAAATAATCAAAAGATGAATCGTTGTACAAATTATTGTATCAACTATTGCATTAATTAAACTCTAAACTGTAGTTATTTGGCTACGATTTCGCAATATCTGTGCCTCCAATTCTATAGGGAGATCTACCTAAGTGTAGCCAACTAAATATCCCCTACATTTGAGACGACACAAATACTATTTTTCATGCAATGTAAACAGTCTCAAAATATGAATGCTTTTGTTTTTCTGGATTGTTAACGTCACCAATATGACTATCAACGATTGTGTTTCTAAGGCTTACGTCGTTGATAAAAGTCAGTGATATCAGTGAAAATAATTTTTATATTTAATTTGAAAATTCAAATTTTGGGAATGAGAGGTCAGTTTAAGGTTCTATCACTAGTACATTTAATCGCGTTTTAATGTTAGTTATAATATGCAATAAAAGAGAATATGCATTAATGACGTTAAATACTTAGAACAAAATGACGTTGAGAAAAGAAAATTTTGCAACATTAATGTTTGGGTAATATTTTTATAGTACAAAAAAATATTTTTCCTATCATTGCTAATGAAGGAAATATTGAGGAGTTCATATTTACATGAGGATATATAACGAGATCTGTTTTTAGAAAGATCGGCTATGAAATCGAACTTACATCAGCACGCTCCTGTTCACTCGTAATTGCTTCACCCATCGCACCAGCGATTATTTTCATCGCGTAGCCGTAATCACGTCTGAAATCACGAAGTGAAGAAATTTTATCAGTCATATTAGATACAGATTCACACTCTCATGCCATAACCATTTAGCATTGTTTTCATTACTCTTTTAAGGTTGTATGAATCCTTAGTAAAGATAGTGACATAGCATTCAGATTTTGACAATCGTTAAGTATTACATTAATAGAACACAGTGCGAAATTTTAGGAATCTTACGAGGCTGTTAAAAAAGTTGTCACATCATAAATTCTTATGTTGAATGAAAAGATTTTTACTTCATTCATGAAGAAATTCATGAAAAATATAGGAGCAATAATGAGAGAATTTTGTGATTTTGTACAATTGTTAATACATGTTTCTGAGAATATTTTAAACTTGAAATAATATGAACTTCGAGGATTTCTTTAAGGTGGACCATAAAAAGTAAGCAGAAGTAGAAATTATACGACTTGTATACAATGTACAATTATAAGTCAAATGCAATTGTATCAAAAAGTGCCAAAACCATATATCATAAGTAAAAAATTGCTTCACTTAAGAAAGCGCATCATAAAAATTTTATACACCTTTCTAATTGGTTGACGGTTCACATATTGGACATAGCTTCTTATCCCGTTTCTCAAACTTTTGAAGATATTACGGTTCACACAACCTTAAGTAAACGTAACAATGACTCTAGTAAAAAGAAAGAAAGATAGGAAGTTAATTACAATTTTTCGATGCGTTCGGATTCTTTGACTAGGAAATCTAAAACAAGCCGCGGACCGGCCGGATATCTGAGCAGGATGTCTGGCGCAGCGGTTCTGGGATTAATCTTGGATTGAGAGTTGAGTTCAGGTATTCTGTCAGAATTTTAGAAGAGTTGGAACAGGCTAAGGCCGGCATCTGATCCAACGTATCGTCATCGGGCATAGATGCAATTATGTACTCCAGAGTATGGGTCCATGTGCTCTGATTCGCGTTCCTGACCCCAGCACAGAGAATTTCCGTCTTCAGGTTAACATCCAATCTGTGCACAAAAGTATCTTAAGAATTTGTTGGAAAAAGTTATTTATCAAATGATACCAATATGACATTAACCCCCATAACATACAATGACGTCTGGGAGACGTTTTCGTTCCACGTACCATTATAGACTTTGAAGTCTCTGAGAAAACTTAACTATTTAGCATTAATTAGTAATGTAATTTAAATAGTATTTTTCGGTCGCATAAAATTCTGTTTTATTAGTATGTCAAGGGGTTAACTGCCTGTCACATATTTATCTCTGGACTGCGGATTTTATGCATTTATGAGGGAATGGAATATAAATGTTAATGAGAATATAAAATGTACAGGGTGGTCCACGCAACGTGTGCACCGTTATAACTTCCAAAGTATGCGTTGCACGAAAGAATGTTATTGTATACAAAAGTTACATAGTTTAAAAGAGTACACTATGTAGTACGTTCATTTTTTTATAGGTATAGGCGTTTCGAAAATTTGGAGGTCAACTTTGTTTCTTTAAACAGAATACTATATATTTTATACCAAAATGTGGTAGAGTATCGAATTGTAAGTAAAAAAAGTATTGACCATTATTAGTCCTAAACCTAATAGCTAATGAATAATTTCACTTTAATGTCATGTAAGTATCGCTGTCCTACGGAAATCTGTGATATAAGGTTGAATCTCCAACCTGATATTACGTGACGAAAATTTTTGAGTAATAAAGTGAAATAGAATTTAATTATTGTTGTTTTCGATCTGCTTACAGCCATCGACATTAACCCGCAAGCACTCACAATCAGTGTCGAGGACGCTTGCACAAAGCGATAGCATTGATATTGATTAATACTTCTACCTTTAACTTGCATACGGTGATTGGAGTTTGACCGCATTGCGGTCGAACAATAAATTTTTTATTTAAAATTCCAAATGGTAATTCCTTGTATTTCTTGACAATCGATACGACATCATACATATATTATACATATAAATAGCGTCAGTTTTTCATAAGACGTAAAATATATAGGAATGAAATCTTCAATACATTTTTTTTGGTACTCTTGTGTTTATGGATTTATCCATATTTATCCATTTTCAAAAACTTTATGCCCAATCTGCCATTTTCGGCTCTAACACTTTTTCTGGGACACCCTGTATAAATAACGTCAATTTATCATAAGACGTAAAATATGTAGAAATGAAACCTTTAATACATCTTTTTACTCCTGTGTTTATGAATTTATCCACGTCTTTCCAAAAGCTTTATCCAGCAAGTTTAACATAATCTGATTGTTAATTGTACTATCGACAGAACTGCCTTAAAGAATTGATTACCTAATATCTGCAACAAACATCTCTTGGAGACCTCATGGCAATAAAGAAATATTAACATAAAGGTAAAAACCCATTTTCATTCTTTTTCGATCCAATAATTATTCATAAAAATGTTATTTATTTTACAGATAAATATATCTTATGACACTTTGGACTATACAGGGTGTCCCTGGATTAACGATCAAACTTCACAAGTATTTTCTATGAGTAACAATAAGAAGAAAATGTTATATAAACATTAGCCTGCAAATGCTTAATAAAAGAGTTATGATAAAAAACCTGAACCTAGAGTCAATAGCGAGTTCACTGTTCGTACATCGGAATATAAGAATAAATCGACGGTATTCATGAAACCTGCTCCTTCTAAACAATTATATTATTTGAAATATTGATTATCAACCTTTATTACATTGAAAAGGGGTCTGTTTCCATTTTGAAGTGCCGTCCTCCGTTACGAATACAAGCTTGACATCTTGGGGAGACTGAATTTATCATTCTCCGAATTTCATCATCTTACTGCAGTTCAGTGATAATGAACACACTGGTACAGTTTGATCCTTTAATCCGGAGGCACGCTATACGTATTCGAAAGCTACTATACGTAATTTTGTTGTGAATACTTAAGTCGTTTTTCAGATTTTTGTTATACGAACAAAAACATTCTCTTTACGTGATAACAATATTTTGCATAAAAATCCGCACTCTTATGTCGTTTCATTTATAGAAGAAAGAGCATAGGAATTATCAATTATCGGAAAAGAAAATGTCGACTTACTTTATCTGAGGATTTTTGAGCCATTCTTGATATATTTTCTCAGCATAGGATGTGCAATCCTTGACACCAGCTTCGCAAGCCCATTTCATTGCGTCTATTCTGAACATTTTTACGAGATCGCTGTCATTCGCCTTCGGTTCATAACCAACGTTTGTTGTCAAAGCTTTCGTCAGGTATGCCACGTAACGCTGCAAATTTCAGTATTTCATACATTTTGGAGTTGTTATCTTTATTAGATTGTATCATAATCTGTGTTAAAATCGTATAAATCATCTTACGGGGTTCCGTAGATAAATGGCCAACTCGTTAATTATGAAATTTTTACGGCAAGTATTTTCCATATAGAACTGCATATCTCGGTTGGAACGAGGATTGCAGATTTTTTAATTGCCACATTACATTTTAATCGTCAGTTCGAATTTCTTTGAATTACGAATTAAATTTTAATCGTTAATTAATACTTTTACCAATCAAGAAATAAAATTTGTTCGGTAATTCTGATTTTTCCAAATTAAGAATTCAGATTTAATTGTGAATTGAGATTTTTTCCAATGAAGAACTAAAATTAAATCGTTGATTAGAATTTCTTCGAAATAAGAATCAATGTTAACTATTTAATTAAAATGAAGAGTCATTTTAAGAGATCTCAACGACTAAAATTTAATTCTTGAATGACATTTAATTGTCTTAAAGGTCTAATCATTTATCTGCAACTTTGATTGGAACCAATGAAGTGATTATATGTATAATAAGGTATCGTCAGGATATGTACTCATGATCTGGGATATTTAGTAACATGAGCTTTATAAAATGGACGAAAAATCATAATAACAATGGCTTTGTTTAACTATTTATCTAACCACTTAAACCCGTCTAATCCAGTTCAACAATACACCTGAATAATAAGTAGACTGCGGATGTTTACGTACATTCCTATTTTTTATAAATAAAAATTCACAATCGAAATGTCTACTGACATTAATTTTTTCCTTTAAATATTATAAATTGTATTTTACTTTGAATATTTTTTATTTCCTCAGATACTAGTGCATTTTGTATTAAGTTAAATTATTCAAAATTCCCATAAAAGTATAAACAACCTTAACCTAATGATAAGTTACTCTCGCGAAGGTTTTGCGTTTATCGAAGAAGCACATTAAATGCCATTTTGCATCTTCAATTTTGTATTTGCAGTTCTTACCCTGAAAATGTAATATTTTTCGGAGGTTCGTAACAAGTTCCGCAGGAAGCCTAAGTGCCTGAACGCCGGTTGCCAGGGAACGTAATCGGCCTCGTGCGTTAAATAGAGGGTCACATCCAAACCACTCGTGTAGTTCAACCTGTCAGCAAGAGGTAAGTTCAACGCGTCGTCTATTATCTGCGCGCGATTCAGCATGTGTATTTTGCTATTGTTCCCTTTGCTCAGCTCTTTCGTCAACAGGTTCCAATTTTCTATCTCATAGTTCACACGATAGTAACCTGACAGAGAATACAAAATTTTGTTAATTGTATCTGCTATCTTCTGCCTTTCGAAAATAACAATTCTTTCTATGATATGAATTATTAATTTATTTTATGCATGGATCAATGAGCAGATGAGAACAGTAAAAAAAAACGTGAATGTATACGTTATATTAATCTAGTAATTCTGCTAAGTTGCTAAAGCTCAATTATGTATGTATAAGATAAATATAACGATAAGAGAAAATCGAGAGAGTTTATTTTCGAATCGAGGGATAGAGGAGGCTTTCTATAACATTGAATGAGTGACGACTTAGAATAATTCGTAAGGTATTTGTTATATCGTCAAAATATTTAAACAAATGTTGCATAGCTTCTAGAGGCACATTTAGTGCTGTGATCTGTTTTTTGTTTCTTTCTTTATCGAGATATAAGGGGTACCTACAGTTATTTAAATAGAATGCCCAATATGTATCTTTTCTCGATATTTCAGTACAGCACTAAATTTTGAGTAAATAAGTATGAGTAGTATAAGAAATTGAGGACATAAAATGCTTTCTAATAGAAGGTTATTAATTTGAGCATATTTCAGTAATTAATCATGTTAGTCCTCATTGATATAATACTTTTTTACTCAGAACTTAATCATAATATGCTAATATTTATTAGTATGAGCGTTACAAGACACATGAAAAATCGTCGTTATAATGCCTTTGTCTCTAAGCAATTTTACGTTCAAAACAATTTCTTTTGAACGAAATCAAGGCCAAAGCACGCTAGATTTAACTTTCGTCTTTTCAAAGAGGTACTCGACGATCCAAAAATTTACTCATGTATAGACGAAAAGTAAGTGAACACTCTAAAACAGAACAGTTGCCTTACAAGTGGACCAAACGACTTGAATTTTCTCGAAGAGGTTAATTTACGAAATATATATCTTAATTAGGAATACGGTAAAATAATTGTTTACTATTATTACTGCTTGTATTTTGAGAATTTTTACTGTTAAATCTGATCTTATTTTGAATGGTTTGAAAGCTTTCGCATGTGGCAATCGTGAATTTATAACAATATTTCTTCACTTGATAGAGTAAATTGAACAATTCTACTACCGGATTTGTTTTTACTTGAGGAACTCTATAAAAATCATGTAGTGGATATTGCAAAAAATAGAAAACAGCTTTTTCGTTGGACTGTGTAATTGTACAATTTCTATATTAGAACGCTTAAGCATATGATTAAAAATTAAATGTCAATACTTAATTATTAATTTCGAATGTTCTACAAAACTATGCAACGTACCTGCTTGCTGCGTGTTAAAAATGACCCACCCCTTTTTTTGAGAAGATTGCACGATATGTGATTCCTCATTCGGAGGAAACCAATCATCGGGATTCGTTTTATTGAAATGGGGAGAAGATTCCTCGACATAAGTGATTGGTACCCACCACTTGGTAGGGTAATCGTCACTTCCATTCAACGCGGTTACGAAACGTTCTTGTGTCAATTGGTAGCCCTGTTCGACTTTCTTAACTGTCAACACCGGATATCCCGGACTTTCCACCCAGTTCTGCATTACAACTTTCATGGACTGTGTCCCATTAGGAGTCCCCTTCTCGCCTGAGTTCAAGGCTTTGTCGAGGGATTCGAAAAGGTCATTCGAATCCGCATTACCCAACGTGCTACAACAGATATTATTATTTAGTAACGTGGAACAGTAAAGAAAAGAATATAGAAATTGAAAAAGAACAGATAAGAGTAGGAGAACTTTGAATTGGAATTGCAAGGAATTATCTAATTATCGTTCAGAGGTATTGTGTTCGAGAAGAAAGTTCGTTCCGACTTTTTATATGTAGAAAATTTAAAGGCTGCGCATTTAAATTTTGGTATATATCTATTGATTTATTGAATTATGTACGTGCTATTTTGCTCCACACTTGTTCATATGCAATTTGTAGATTCCATCCTTAAGAATAGTGCGAAGTATGCAGTTGAGCTATTCAATACTACGTAGCAAGGTACGTCTCAGGTAATCAAGACAGAATTCGTCTTAATGTTGAATTTAAGTTTAATTCCGGTCCTTATTTTATTCGGAACAATCAATCTTTGAAATGAAATTAATTATGATTCGAAACGATGTTTTCAATCATTCCGATATACTCACATATCTCTTAATCCATCTATCTAAAATTGGAACTAACTTTCCGAACAATCCAATACTTCTTTTTCTCATTTTATTTCAATAGTGATTGTTTTATACGCGAATAAAGATATACGTACTAGCTTGCCAGATAGATTTTCAAGCCTTTATGGAAAATCTCTTCCGTCATGATGTGACACATCATTCGAATAACAGACCCCCCTGCAAATCATACAAATAATTATTTGTATTTGCAGTCGAAGTACAATGCAATGAGGAAAATATTTGTTAAAAATTAAATAAACAAACAGCAAGAAATTAATAGCACTCATAATAAAGAGTCTGCAAGTGGATGCTATTTATACACAGTCACTCCGTGCTGCTTTCTAAATTGTATGCACATTCTATAGCTTCTAAAAGCACTGATGGATAAAATATACAGTATGAATACTTCTGACTGTCTATTTAAATCATCATCCAATTCAAATCATAATCTCATCTAATTATTTCTCATAACATTTTATTTTAGTTTTAAATTTCATTTTTCATGTTATTTTGTTGTTGTTTAACAATGGGTTTCACGATCCCTTATAGAAATTAATGATTAAACAATTTGTGCAAGCATTTACTAAGCTGTCATTAAAATATAAGTACCTATCATTTATCACAATTGTTAATTCATAAACTTTTAGTGTTTAATAATTGATACGTTATTAGAAAGCGATTTATTCAGATAAACTTTTCGCTTGTCGAGTCCGCTTATTTATAATCTAGCGGTATTTAGAACGTCCTAACTGATCGATAAGATTAGGCAACGTGTTTCGCTAATCAATAAAAAGAAAATCCATTGCAAACTTATACCTATCAGTATCTGTTTCCATATTTCTGTTTATCTGACGTTAAACTAAAACCATCGCGACTGCGTTTACGGTTCAAAATGTATCTACTTGTCCTTTTATATATCTATGTAATCGAGATTAAATTGAAGTCTTTTATTTTTTTTCTTTACCTTTATCGTAGGCGACGGTGCCGAAGTTATTGAAGACGTCTCCAAGGGTGATCACCTTGTGATTTAATGCACGTACCTCCGGGAATGCGTCGTCGACCATCGAGGACCGTTGTATACTGTCCACAACGAACAACTCGTCCATTCGCAATTCAGGTACTACCTGAATTTCATAATTTCATCATTAATTGCCGTATTGAAAATTATATCTAATTGCTGTCGTCCCTCTATCTTAATTTTCTACTTAGTTTAATATTCTTCATTGAGGTCTGATTTTGATTGCTAAGTCTTATCTCTGATTATTACCCTCATCCGCTGTCCTCGAACGTGATCTTATGCACGTTTCTTTTCTTTTCTTTCCATCGACGCTCTTTATTTTTCTACGACTATCCTCTTTCTCTTTTACCCTGCCAATGCTGTCGACTTTTCGATTTCGCCAGTCGCGACCAAACAAAGAACCGAGACACTTCGTATCGTACTGTGTACTGCCGAACGTTTGTATTAACCCTTTGCACTCGAGGCCTTTTTCGCTTGCGCGAACCGCCAACTCGAGACGATTTTGGCCAAATTAGGTAAACATCTTACAGGTTCTTTAAAAACATTTATAAACAAACAAACGTATATAAATAATAAAATATCATCAGCTTATTCATTTATATGTCAAAACAACAAACTTTGATAAATATTACACTCTGTAATTAGTTTTGGTGTGATATTTAATGATACAATAGCCAAGACGCATCCTAGGTTTATCAGGACACGTATCACAATAATACGAAATTTCCCGCCTACCTCTAGCCTCGTTACGGTCAGAACAAACCTTGCAGTCCCTTTTGGACCTTTTAGCATTACGTGAAGTTTCCCGTTTAGTCGGATTTCATCGGAATGTGACGTAGACGCTTTCGTCTCGTGTTCACACGTGAAATCGGCCGGGCGCCGTATCAGCGCCGCTCGAGTTGCTTCAAATAGGCCGGGCGCTGCTCGAGTGCAAAGGGTTAAATACTCATGCATCAAACGTATCACTAAACGGAGTCCCACAATGTTAAATTGACGTGTAAAATTATAGGAAGATATGCGCAGAGGTAAATCTCTATGAAGATACGTCAGTGAGTAGAAATTGTGACATTCACGAAATTGGCTTTTAAAGATATCCAAATCATCGGAATTATTGCCTGACAGGGATAACGGTCATGGTAGATGGCTGTATATAAGATGTGTTCCTCCGGTGGTATTATTTTTGTCACTTACTGCGCATTTCGTACAGCGGTCATATCAGGAAATGACTACTTACTGTTTTCAAAAATAAAACCTGACCCAAACGACAAAAGTACCAGTTCGCGCTTTTAAAAGTTATGAAAACTGGAATGGTAATACTGAGAAATTGAATATTTCCCGTCATCGATTTCTAAAGGATCAAATGTTGCAAAAAACTAATGTGATACTTGTGGCCGAGGAAACGACAATTTAAAAGCTGGCAATTCTTAAGAGTGCTATAAAATTTTAAAACAAATTTGCAAATTGAAGTTTAGACTTTCTAAGTTAAAAACTAATTTTCATTTCAAAGCTCCTTAACTTCCCTCCTTTTAACGCAAAGTATAATTAATAAATAAGACAATATGCTCGTTACAAGGAAGGGCACGTGACTAGCAGTTCCAATCAGCTGCGTCATAACACCCCTTACGTATTCTCACCATGATAACAATAGCTAAATAAACGAATGACCTGCCCCAATATTTATAAATCCTATGTTAAAAGACATAACGGTGAAAGTCTGTTTCAAAAGGATTAGAGTATCATATTTACTTTGTGAGCAATGAAGTATACGAAATAGTTGGTGAATCCGTCATTCAGCCAAAGGTATTTCCACCATTTCGGGCTGACGAGATTACCGAACCATTGATGAGAGAACTCGTGAGCGACGAGCCTGAGTACGTAAAACTTCGTGTTGATTGGTGATGAAGCCTCGTCGTAAAGAAGAGCAGTTTCACTGAAATGGAAATTCGAGTTCAGAGGTGTCCAGCCTTATTATTAACGGTTAGATTCAGCGAAAAGTGATCATTATAACATTTACACTTTTTATCTAAAACAGTGTTACATGAAAACATTCTATTATTTGAATAGGATATTTCATATTATAATACTGTATGTAAATGTACCAGCCATTTTTATATTTATATATTTGCTTGTCCGGAATGAAATCTATTTAATGATTTAGTATAAAATAAGCATCATATTTGGAATGTTATATTGTAAATAATTACTAAATATTTAAAAACTTGAACGTGGATAATGTGCAACTTGTTCTAGCAGAAAATTAAAAAATTGATCATTATTAGTACTGCGGATTTTTATACAAAATACGACATTTGTCTTGTCAATTTAAAAAATTAAATATAGATTGAAAATTCTTTTATCCTCCAGAAATAACGATCTATGTATATTACACATTTTACGTTCCACAGACATTTGCATATCTCATGCATTCATTATATTTCTGGTATATTTAATTTTTCTATGTATGCATAAAATCCGTAGTCTATTAATGACAATAAATTAGCATCCTGCGATTCGATCGTGCAGTTTGATCGAGTGATTCATTATATGGAGCGGATAATCGCAAGTATTTTTTTAATTCGGCACTACGTGTTTGCTTATCTCTGTACCGCGAAAACCTGTTGATCGTTAATCCCATGGGGAAAGCAATCTATAATTCGAACTCATCACGTTGATAAACAATGAAACCCTGCACTTTGATCGCGATGTTCATTACTTGTAAGTACCTGTAAATCAAGAGACCCCAATTCTCCATGGCACCGCCTGGGTAGAAATTCCTTATCGTGACTTGATCTAGTTTGTCTGGCATGTATGTCTGGTACGAAATATTCGTGTACAAATTCATGAATTCTAGAATCTTCCTTCCCATTTTCAAAGCGTAGTCAGTGTAATTTATCGCACTCTCCTTTGTCCATACCCTATAGGTGAAGTTGCCGACTTTATCTTCCTTAAATCGATAATCGCATATGACGAATGCTACCAAATAAGTAGACATCAGTGGGGTCTCTTTGAATGTAGTGATCATCATGCCATCTTTTTCTTCTTTTTTTAGTACATCCGTGTTAGAGATCGCCTGAAATGTCTTATTGTGCGTCAAACTGATGTTGAACTTCGCCTTGTAAGCGGGCTCGTCCCAGCATGGGAACGCTAGCCGAGCGAAGGTCGGCTCGAAGTGAGTCGTTGAGACGAACCAGCTGGAATGGAAGAAAAATTGAATTTTACATAATTTGCACGGAGACAGATAGTAATTTTTCAAAATAGAGATGAGAATCTTGTATAATGTAACTAATTATCTACCATGTAACTAATTATGGGACATTGGATAAAACGCATAAGTCCATCAAACTAGAAAGTAATTAAGCATACAAAAAATGCTTTGAATTGACATTTTAAAAGATTCAAGGGGTATCTAAGTAAATAGGAGGCAGACATTTTTTGATATCACAACTTTATAGCTACAATACTGTTAACACTCACACGAGTGTTTGCGAGTGAATCGGGAAGGGAGAGTGAAGAAAGCACCAATGTTCGTTGAATTCCTTTATTATCTCTTCCGTTCGGCTGGCTGGTAGCGACTCGTTGAGATTGTTAGTTGGACTCGATAACGAACTATTAGACTGAATTTCTAAACTGAACTGTTAACTGAACTTGACCACTGTGAACGGTCAGAAAATTCAAAGGAACCGTCCGTTCTCCAAGACGCGCTCGCTATTTATCTGGGTCCTAAGACCCGCCTCCTCCCACGCTAACGATCGCTGGGAACCGCGTTTTCCCTCTCTCAAATCATCCCCGAGGAAAACGTCCAATCCCTCGGTCGATGAACGCCCTTATTTCGGACTCCCACGCCCGGGCGGAGTCCGCACCAATCTACTTCCTAATGACATCCCCCAAACACACAGGCCCCAACATTGTGCGGTCCGCGGCCCAAACTGGACCCCCCAGGCCTCGTTCACCGCGGGCGCCAACGTTGTCAGCAGCCACGTGCTTAGACTGAACCCGAACCGATGCCATTTTCTCTCTAAGAGGAAGCAATAAATTGACTATGACAGCTATTGAGTCTCAATTTGTCCCAATACCTAAGACAGTTTTCCCACAATCCAACGTTCGCTACGCAGCCGTATCCGGTGACAACTTAAGTACTACAAAATACGCGTTTCTCTAGACAGCGCTGTCCACAGCCACGTGTTTTGCACACGCTTCGAACCCGAGCCCAAATTACTTAGAATTGCTTAAATAAATTGGCGCCGACCATTCGAACTGGTCGAGCCCTAGGCGACACACAATGTCCTTCCTGTTCCTAAGCTCTTCAAGGGTTCGTCGCGCCGTCTAGACTTACAATAATTTATTGTTTCCTACTGTCGCGTTCGTTGTTCTCGCATTCACCCAGGCAAGCCTGTGGCGCAGGAAAAACTCAACGTATTTTCTCACGCTGAGAAAACCATACGCCAAGAACAACGATTCCAGAGTTTCGGCAAGCTACTTAAGTCTAACGAATCTGCCCCAGCGTCGTCGACCACGCAACCTAGACTAAACACGCACACTACGNGACGTCGGAAGAATAATGCTAATAATAAATAGCTACGTGCTAAAAAGTATAGAAGGAAATATCCAATTAAGTATTGACGCTGACGAAAATTTTATTTTTTTCAAAATTGCGAAAAATGCTTCAAATAAAAGTTGTTTTCCTTCTAACTTCGATATTTAACGAGTTACGTATGATTATTTGGCATTTTATTGATGTTGACAAAATCCGACCATCCCAGCGTCGAAACGACGAACTTCTGTCAAAAAGTTTCATTTTTCTTTAATTACTCCTAAACCGTTGAATCTACGGGAAAATTGTATATAAGCTTTCTTGTAGAGGACGACGAGATCTACAATTTCCATGTAAAAAATTCTCGCTAGTGTCAATAGTTAACGAGTAATTTGCAAAAAACTATTTTTTAGTTTTTCGTCAATAACTCGTTAAATATTAATGCTAGCGAAAATTTTTACATGGAAATTGTAGATCTCGCCGTCCTCTACAAGAAAGGTCGTATGCAATTTTTCCGTATGTCCAACGGTTTGGGAGTTATTGGCTAAAAACGAAAATTTCGCAAAATCTGAAGGGGTTCATCCGACGTCTGGTTTCTTTTTAAGAAATGCGTTTCTAAAGTGCATAAACTTTTGAGATTAACTGTATAGCCAATACATCCTTAAAATGAATGTGTATTAGTGACATGAAACTTCATTAAATAGAGTAAAAATAGTGTCAGGGTTTGGAATTTCCTACAATAGTAGCTAATCGTATAATACTACCTGTTTACCCGGCGTTGCTCGGGTGTTTATTTTCCCTACCCTCTACCAGGCAGAAGAAATGAGAGATTAACGCGTTACGTACCGTGTCGACCAACGGTCTTCGTTTGTATTATAAGATTTAAACCAATATGAAAACAGTTTGTATACAATTTATAGCAAGAGGTAAACCGAGTTTAAACGCCGGCTATATTTGATCTAGATCGAAAATTTAAATTAGTTGGCATTTGTTAAGAATTTTGAAAAAGCATAAAATCCAAAATTGTAGAATATAAAATGTTCTGTAACGTTTATTGCAAACGTTTTTCGATGCGAAAGAGTTATAGCAGATTTTCAATTCACACCCTCCTCTAAAACTTGCCCTTCTCTACTGCGTGCATATTAAATTAAACATGTGCTATCATTTAAGTCTATGTAACGGAAACTCAAATATATAAATTCATTATATCGTGTGTCCAATAGAAAAAATAGTTTGTAAAATTTAGGATAATGTGAACTAAAGTCACATTCGTAGCTGTGAGGTTGAATAAGAATACATACATATTAGGAACATATTTTAAATAAAATGTTGAATGAAGATTTTAATTTGACGTAGTGCAATGCGGAAAGAAGTTCGAGGAAGAATCACGTAAATGTTAATCCAAAGATGAAAAGAGAATAGTTCTAATTTGTGGAATTAAAATAAATAAGGCTGCATATTAAGACTGCACGAAGTTATTTGTAATAAATAAACAGCTAACCTGATATATACGAATTCAATTGGGATTGTTGTATAAAAATACGTACGTATATCTGTAGCAGTACAGAAATATGTAAAAACTGAGCAAGTCAAATAAAAATAAAAATAGTATATAATTAACACTTAGATGGTAATAAAAGAAATATTGTGAAACCACGTATGGATTCCACAAACGCCATTAACTAACATCTTTCCGTTGGCACTTCGTCTTAACGCTCGTTGTCTCGTTCACGGTTATATTCGTCTGTAGATTACGATTTGTAATGTGAAATCCTCGTCATTTGTGCATTGTGTAATTTAATGAACAACGAGCTGTCTCAACTCAGCTAAATAAATGTATTTGTCCACGAAATCACGCATCCATTACTGTGCCTGTGCTAGTCGGTCCTTATTCACCAGGGAGACTCAAAGAACGCCAAAAAATCCGTACCAGTTATAAATTCACGATTGACGCATGAAAAATCTCATTCAGTTGAAAATTAGACACAATAACAGTATCAATTTTCAGAACACAAAAGAAACTAATAGTCAAACAACCTTAATAATTATTTGATCACATTTCACTTAAAATTCGCACATAGCATAAACATAAGACGTATAATTTTCTGCAGATATTATATAGTAAGTAAAACCTTAAGTTGTTTGATCCAACATTAAAAAATGATTCCGTTTTGAAATGTATCCGAATATTAATGGCCATTGTGTATGCGGCACATTAGCTAAATTA